CACTATGATTTTTGAACCAAGATCCAACAGGTTAAGGTTTGTCTGGATAAAAGATGCTATACAGCATACAAATTACCTCACACTCACTAATAGGCAGAAAAACACAACTGTCACTGGGTCAAACAGAGTAGGGCCTACAACATGAGTGAGAGTATGGGGGCTGAGTTGACAAACTTGCTATAGAGGGCCACATATATTAGAGGACATTAAGTGCATCATATTCATTATGAAAAAGTCTTGGGAAAAATTCTAATAGTTTTTGACAGGACTTGGCACATATTTAGCAACTAACCATGATTATGGCCAATGCATACAAACAAAACCCAGTAACTACATAAAAAATGGTCTTTGTTATGCATTCTGTAAGAAGAGACACTGAACAAATGTTATTTTCTTGAAGCTGTTGAAAGCATTTCCAGATCTCAGGTATAAAACCATGATACAACTCAAGAGAGCAATATACACATAATCTATGCATAACTAATGCATTGTATATGGAACATGACTGGTAACAAATCTTGTATAGCAGGATTAAAAAAGGATGCAATACTTTATGACCCCCTATGGTTACAGTATAACCCAAGAGATGGATAGTACACAGCATTATATTTCTTATCCTATTTTCACTTAATTTCTTTTCTTCATGTGAACATACTTCAAAGAAATTCCTCTTTTCTCAAAACCTAATTTGAAGCTCAAAGTACTGTAATATTTCTGGAAGATAATATATACATCATTGCCATTTAGTATCTGCCCAAAAAGCTAAGCATAAAATGAACTTATACATAACACCACACTGCAAGCAGTTTTTGTATTTCAGCATTAATCAAGACATTATCAAACAAATAATTAGAAGAGAAAAAATATGCATAATATACAAACTGCCTGATAAAAAATGGACACAAACCAAGAAGATGAATAACACAGAGGATGAGAAAGGCCAAGCTTACTCCAGTAGATGTTACTGAAGCACATGGGAAGAGGGGGGAGGAGGGTGCACACCATGCAGGGAATCAAGCCCAGCTCTTATGACCCCTTGATGTGTGTGGAGGTTGCTGTTACAGATTATCAACTCTCACTATCCAGGGCTCCTTCTCAAAAAAATATATTTATAAAAGATGTTAAACTTTACTTTTTCCCTAACATTCATGCAGATAAAAGAATGTCAATATTGAACTTAAATTTCTGAAAAATTCTGCTTTAAGTAGCTATTCAAAAAGAAAAAAATGCAGATAAGGGCATTCTACTTAACTTTTGTTTGCTTTTATCAGAGTAGAACACAGATTATTTGTTTATGATGTAACTTTTTGTAAATCAAATAGTCAGTCAAGTAACTTACCAGAGTAGATCAAGATAACAAAACATAAAACAATAATAAAGTAAAAATAATGTTAAGCACTCCAACTTAAAAACAATTAGAATAAAACTGCTACATGTTGTGAAGTTATATTTTCTGTTAGAAGTATTATTACCCACCAACAAACATTATGCAGAGATACATTTATGCAGAGGCAATGCAGTGCGCAGAAATCCAGTCTCCTTAACCCCTAGCCGACGGGTGGCATGTACGTACATGCCATGGCTGTTGTGGACAGAGAGACGGGTGGCATCGTGTCATGCCCATTCCCACGCCACTGGCTCGTCGGACGGAGTTTGTTTTTTTCCAACAGTAGCAGCTTCATTTATATGGTAAAGATTTTAGGCAATGGCACCTATAATGAAGGTAAACCTTCAAAATTTTAATATTTCTATAAATTATAGCAAAAAAAAAGCTTTTAGATACTAAATGTCGCTCGCAAACTACCGATAGAGCCAGGTGCAAACAGGGGAAACTGCCGATGCGTGCCAACAAGCCCGTCCATACGTCCACTTGCCAAACATTTTTACCCGTCGGCATTGGGTTAAAAGATTTCTGGATTTCCTTGATTGCTGTGGGTCAAAATAATAAAACCAAGCAGGGCTGCTATGACAGTTTGGTGGTGGTGGTGATAGTGGTGTTGGTGATGGTAGTGTTGGTGGTGGTGATGGCAGTGGTGGTGGTGGGTGATAGTGTGGTGTGGTGATAGTGGTGGGTGATGGTAGTGCTGGTGATGGTGATGGTAGTGTTGGTGGTGGTGGTGTGGTGTTGGTGATGGTGATGGTGTTGGTGGTGGTGATGGTAGTGTTTGGTGGTGGTGATGGTAGTGTGGTGGGTGGTGATGGTAGTGGGTTGGTGGTGGTGATGGTGTTGGTGTGGTGATTGTGTGGTGGTGTTGGTGGTGATGGTGGTGGTGATAGTGTTGTGGTGTGATGGTAGTGTTGGTGGTGATGATGATGATGATGATGATGATGATGATGATGATGATGATGGTTGTGGTGGTGATGGTGGTGATAGTGGTGTTGGTGATGGTGATGGTAGTGTTGGTGGCGATGGTAGTGTTGGTGGTGGTGATGGTAGTGTTGGTGGTGGTGATGGTCATGGTGTTAGTGATAGGGGTGTGGTGATGGTAGGTGGTGGTAGTGTGATGGTCATGGTGATAGTGATAGTGGTGTTGGTGATGGTGATGGTGTGTTGGTGGTGGTGGTGTGGTGGTGATGATGGTGATGGTGGTGGTGGTGATGATGGTGATGGTGGTGGTGGTGGTGATGATGGTGATGGTGGTGATGGTGATAGTGTGTTGTGAAGTGGGTGTTGGTGATAGTGGTGGTGGTGATGGTGGTTGGTGATAGTGGTATTGATGGTGGTGATAGTGGTATTGATGGTGGTGATAGTGTTGATGGTGGAGATAACGGTGTTGGTGGTGGTGATGTGGTGTTGGTGTGTGGTGTTAGTGGTGATGGTGGTGGTAATAGTGGTAATAGTGTGATGGTGTGGTAATAGTGGTGATGGTGGTGGTGAGAGTGGTGATGGTGGTGTGTGGTGATGGTGATGGATGGTATTGGTATTAATGATGATGATGGTGGTGGTTGTGGTGATGGTGGTGGTGATGGTTATGGTGATGGTGATGGTGGTGGTGATGGTGGTGGTGGTAGTGGGGTGGTAGTGGTGGCGGTAATGGTGGCGGTGTTGGTGGTATTGGTATTGGTGGTGGTGTTGGTGTTGGTGGTGGTGGTGGTGGTGGTAGTTGGTGTTGGTGGTAGTGAGGTGGTGGGTGGTGGGTAGGTGGTGTGGTGGTTGTGTGGTAGTGGTGGTGTTGGTGGTAGTGGTGGTGATGGTGTGTGGTGATGGTGTTGGTGTGGTGGTGAGTGGTGGTGATGGTGGTGGTGGTGATGGTGGTGGTGGTGATGGTGTTAGTGGTGGTGGTGATGGTGTTAGTGGTGGTGGTGATGGTGTTAGTGGTGGTGGTGATGGTGTTAGTGGTGGTGGTGATGGTGTTATGGTGGTGGTGATGGGTGGTGGTGGTGGTGAGTGGTGGTGGTGATGGTGTAAGTGGTGGTGGTGATGGTGTAAGTGGTGGTGGTGATGGTGTTAGTGGTGGTGGTGATGGTGTTAGTGGTGGTGGTGATGGTGGTGTTAGTGGGTGATGGTGTTAGTGGTGGTGGTGTGGTGTTAGTGGTTGGTGGTTGTAGTGGTGGTGGTGATGGTGTTAGTGGTGGTGGTGATGGTGTTAGTGGTGGTGGTGATGGTGTGTGGTGGTGATGGTGGTGGCTGGTGATGGTGATGGTGTTAGTGTGTGGTGGTGATGGTGGTGGTATGGTGTGTGGTGATGGTGTAGTGGTGGTGGTGATGGTGTTAGTGGGTGGTGATGGTGTTAAGTGGTGGTGGTGGTTAGTGGTGGTGGTGATGGTGTGTGGTGGTATGGTGTTGTGGTGGTGGTGGGTGTTAGTGGTGGGTGGTGATGTGTTGGTGGTTGATGGTGTTAGTGGTGGTGGTGATGGTGTTAGTGGTGTGGTGATGGTGTTAGTGGTATTGGTGATGGTGTTGTGGTGGCTGATGGTGTTAGTGGTGGTGGTGATGGTGTTAGTGATGGTGGTGGTGATGGTGGTGATGTTGTGGTGGTATTGGTGTTGATGGTAGTGGTGGTTGTTTATATGTATATGCATATCCAAACAAACACCTATATAAACAGCAGTTCAATTGTAGCAAACCTGCAGTTGGGACAATAGTCATTTTAGGCCTAGCCACAAACTATACTGTTGTGTAATATTACATCACAAGTAAATCAGGGCCCGTCATCATAGGGTTAATTCTTAATCAAGAAAACATTAATCATTCAGGCATAATGTAAAACATCAGTAGGAGACTACAGAAAGTGATATGCATTCAACTATAAAAAAGGATCTACCACCACATTCACAACTGACTGTGTACAGCATCTAAATTCCAATACAAATATGTATTTGATGGTTTTATCTGCTGTCTTTTGTTCTTGTTAAATTCACAGCTGTATTTTCCATGTTATTTGTTATCAAATAAAAGCACTTCACAGGATACAAGGGAAGTCTGAAGGGATGGAAAATTAGAATAAAAGAATGGGATTTGATAAATCTGGAATAACCTAGACACCATGTTCATATATTCCTTGTGTTAATGTACAACTTCAAGAGTATATATACATTAAACAGCAAATGAAAAGCAAGCGTTTCACAGTTTTGCTTGTAAAAGAAATAATGTCTAAAACAATTCATGCCTCCAACTTCAATACATAATAAAAATTTACTTACGGACTCTAGAACAACTAGGTCAAATGGACACCTGTTTCAGTGTTGCACTCAATGAACATAGCCATGTAATAAATAAAAGAACACACACTGCTTAACCTAGTTACAAAAGTTACACATAAAATATAAATAAAGCAATTATCTCCTCAATCTATGATCCTTCCTACCATAAAAATCTAAGTTCTACTGCACTGATAAGGCATAACAAAACATGCATTTAGCTGTAAAAGCTTAATCTCAAAGAAGAAAATGGAAATGAAAGCCCAAAGACTCATGAGCTGTACTACTTTGAGAGACAAGCAGTCCATGGTCATGCCATCTACTAACTCTGAGCCCTGGACATCATGAGAGTGTCTTACCAGCATCTGTGGCCACACTTGGGCCTTCACTCTGGTCTGCCATCGACCCAGGTTCCCTTACAGGGGCAGACTTTTGTTCAGGACCATCAGCAGGAATAGGATCAGGAATGCCAACTGACTCTTTGGATGGGACAGGAGGTGCAGGTGTGGATGGTGGTATGGAGGAGGAGGAAGAGGAAGGAGGAGGTTCTGATATGGCAGCAGGAGATGAGGACGAGATTTCCGTCTCACCCTTTTCCTGAGGACCACCATCTCCATCATCAGTTTTGAGGGCAGTCTTCAAGATCTGTGAAAAGTAAAACCAAGAAATTCATTCTATATACCTGAAAATTTAGATCAACTAGAGAAACCAAAAATATTGAGTTTACAGTAACTATTTTAAATACATTACATCACATCCAGCAAGACAAAGTAAAGGAACTTTATATATCATAAACATTATATATTAGTCATAGTACCTATATTACCATCACCAACACTTAAAGAATTGGGAAAGATTTCATATATGCACTCACCCTCAAAGTTATGTTCAGTTTTAATGTTGACAGACCTCCAGAGGCCCCACTTAAGCTGTAGTCTTCACCAACAACTTCCATTTTGCGCTCCTTCAAGAAGACGTTGAGGTCTAGCTCCACCTTACCTTGGATCTGGTTGGTCTTCTGATCAATTACCTGAAATAAGAGAGAGTAGGTAACTATACATATAAAAAACAAAGACAAAATGAAAAAGGACAAAAATGTTACAATAACAATAATCTTAATTCTCACTTTTCTAAGAGCCTAAAAGAATTTCTCATCAAATTTCATGGTATCTTGAGACATACCTCAAGCTTCAACTCTTGGGTGCGTGGGTTACGGACAAGGAAGGTGAATCCCTCCTCAAAGACTGGGTCATTCGTTCGCTGCCGTACAGCCGTCTCTCCCTTCTCGTTGCCAACATAGAGCCTCACAAATGGATCTGGGATTTGCTGGAAATACAGTTGTTCAGATAAAATCTTTTCACAGCTTCAGGACATTCAGTTATAAATAAAATCTATTGTTATCCTGTCTATGAACGTTCTGTGAGCATTCATATTTCATTGGTATTTCTACAGATTTGACAAACGTGATGAAGAAACGAACAGTCATAAATAACAAATATTCCATAAAAGCACCATTTTACAATAATTTCTCCAAAATATCCCAGCTTCCCTGTGAAATTAAAACTAAAATTCTAGAGGAAATCAACATTGTGACACCATTTAAGCCACATAGTCCCAAAACAAATATGTGATTCAGGTCTTTGCCATCAGTATAGCAATCACATCTAGCACTATAAGCTCCGAATTCTGAACATCACCTTTCAACACGGAAAAATTACAAGCATAAAATACAGAGGGAAATGGTGAAGAAAATGTCTCATCACCTCACACAAAGAGAAATGACTGATGCAAAGGCAGATTGTCTAACTGCTAAAGTCTATCAGCTGTCCAGCTGTCTTGGGTTGTAAAAGTAAAAGAAGTACAAGTGGAAGATAATTCACAGAACTAAACACATCTGTCTACGCAAGAGAAAGGGAACACAAAGAGATATTTGGCATAAAGCTGTACTCAAACCTTGCTTTTCCGCCCAGAAAATTTAGGGCTCGCCCTTTCCTGGCATCCACAATTCCAAAAGATAAGAAAAAATAGTTAATTAAAATTTGCTGATATATACACTGTATTCTGGATATATTGCATGCATTGCATTACTTGACGCTGCTTTGAAGAAAAAAAATACATATAGATTCAAATATGAAGATAAGTAAAACAATCTTGTAAATTCAGCATATACAATCTAACAAGGACAAAATTCTCTGTATAATGAAAATAATAGAATACTTCAATTTCGAAAGTAAAACTATATGATGACAATGGAAATATCACAGATATCTTTCTTTATGGCATGAAACAGATTTACAAGTTTTCAGTTGAATTAAAAATACTGTAATACTCATTCCAAGCAACATTTAGCAAGTTACCAACATTCATTCACAGTAACAATTCAACATCCATGGGACATGCAAACACAGAATAAAGTCCCAAAGGCACTTACAACATAACTAAACATTTTTTCAATAGAATAAAAGAAATATAGTTAAATTTAATCATGCAATGTTGGTTTCTTTGTGAGATGACTTGAGAATAACTGCTGGATCTGTTTGCAAAATCCCTGCTCATTCTTCATAGCATGTTTTGATAATTTTCTTTTGCTGATTTGTCAAAGAAAAGTCAAGGCCTGAGTACAACACTTCATAACTAATCTGGAGATATGATATGTGCAAAAAAAAAAGGTTGTCTAAAACAGACATCTTTTTGTAATTCATTATGAAGGGAAATTTCTTTAAAAATAATAATATAAAGAAAAACGTTATTTCACTGCTCTGAAATATCAAATCTGTTATTTCTATAAAACATCATGGAGTTCCAACATCAGACATATCTACAGGCCTAACCCTTGATTTGACAAAGGATGCAACACCCCATATTCTGAAAAGTTGCAAACAAATTTGAGGCTTGCATACACAAGGGTCTCATCAGTATGACAGTCATACAAGTTTGACTACAAGATGAATCTACCAAGGGTAAGGTTTTCTTGACTTATGAAGAAGGATCAGATATGCAAGAGAAGACAATCTGATGAAAAATAGGAATGGAAGAATTAGAGTCAAATGTCATATAGTAAAGGTGAAAATGGCAAGACCATTAAACAGACTTATCAATCCATTTGATACAACAGGTCTAATAACAATGAATCACATAGAGTTCTTTTTGGCTACATCTAAACCAATTATGCTATTCACCAAGCAGATTGTTGAAAATACCTGCCATGTTATGGATTCTGTGGATATCATAAGGTCATAATGATTAATGTCACTCACACTCACTATTGGCCATGCAGGATTTTTTTCCCATACTGTAAATCATTAGCCAAAACAGAGAATACATATAAAATTTGAATATTTTAAAAATAAATCACTCGTCAGTAAATGCCATAAGGGATAAGCAAAAACATACATTATAAAATGTTAAACAAGTGAATGAATTCACATGAACATTCCATACTCAAAATATATACAAATTATAATAATCACATAGCAGGTTAGTTCACTCGTCTGTGGGGCCTGTGTAGACAAAGAGATTGTACAATTAGCACCTGCAAAACAAGGATAGACACACTAGGCAATTAATAGACTAACACCATACTCACCAAAATAAAATATTCACCACAACCACATTTTCTAACTGCATAAACCTTAACATGCAATATAAGGTTGTAAAGCAAAACTGATGACAAATACTACTCAGATAAAATCAAAACACTTTCATCTCTGAAACCAGACTGTGACAAGACAAGGAAGCAAAAGGAATTGCGACTAAGTGCGACATTCACAGGCATGCAATAACTTTACACTTCTTTACCTTATGTGACGGCTGTTGAAGAGTATGAAGAAGAAGAGAACATACAGGCTGTGATTAATACTTGATACATGAATGAAAAAAAAAGTAAATTACAATTGAACTAAACAAAAGATGAGGAAAAATAGGCAAATACTTTTTTACAATAACAAAAGCTAAATATCTTTATAGAGCACATTTCATGCTTAGAACAATTAGTGACTGAATTTTAACAAAATTCAACACTTATTCCATATGTGAATAAAATACAATTATGTCATGCAGCACTTCTTGCAATATGCACATTACTGAACTACCAAATTTATATTTATATAGCAGATTCACCAACGTAGGAGGAATGAGTTAATCAACTAAAATATTCCTTTAAATCTTTTAAAAAATGAAGTAACTGATGCAGTTTTCACGAAGTGTCTATGACTGTTCTTTGCAAGTCTATCTATGATTTGTGCTATTGCCATATCTCAAAGTAATCAGAACACTTACAATGCTATACAAATAATTGACTGCAACAATAATAAACTACTATTCTAATAAATCTTACTCATATATACTATACCCCCCATGCACTTAATTGTAATTTGGGCAACCATATTCTTGTTGAACTACATCCGCTGTGAAGACCCTAGCACCATTTGTATTTGTAAATACTGTAAATATATAGGAAATGGATCAAGTAACTGTTAACAATAAGTCAGAATGGGCCTCCAAATTTTATTTGTCATTACCAATTTATGGTTAACTTCATTTGTCTTAGACAACAATTTTGTCTATGACTCCCCATGAAAATGTCTTTGACTGACAGATTTTTTTCTATGACAACCATAATTTCAAGACAGGTGGAAGTGACCTACACATAGGGGCTGTCTGTAAAACTACAATTAATACAAATTTGAAGGTAATTCTACTTCAGAAGTTATTTACTGTCAAACATTGATTTAGCAATTTCCTACATTTTTACTCATATTTCCTATTCATGTCTCAGGACTGTCTTTAAATTTGTTCTTGTGCAATGTTTTCCATGTTAAAGATTATTCTACACTGGAAATAAAGAAGAAAGCTTGGAGGCTCCTTTTTATTTATTGTCAAACATAAACTGAGCCATCACCTACATTTCACCTGCTAGATTCTATCAAAAAAATACATATAGCACCACATGCACTCACAACTGATGTAATGACAACAAATATAGGGATGCCACATTACATGTAGATGTACTAAATACGTAATAATAATGTAAGTAATATTTATTGCAACATTTATGTTGTTATATTATTAAAACAGATTCTCAAGATATGGCCTATAACAGTTTTAATGTTTTGAGTACCAGTATTACTTTTGAGATGTGACAACAGTGCAAATCATAGACAAAATCAAAATGTGAAAAATATCCCAAGAAATTGAATAGTAGCAAATATTTATTGACCTGAAGAGAATATATCGATATAAAGGGTCAAGTTATTTTTGTTCTCATTTCAATTCACCCAGACACTTTATTTTTTTGCATGGAGCTTTTTCACTTAACCCACATCATACCTGGACCAAGTGTCTTCATTAGTATTTCTCCTAATCTTTTACAAGAATTTGATATAATTTTTTCAGTCAAAACAGAATATATAAAATTCTTTGATATCATATTGAGAGCAAAATAAGGCTTCTGATACATGAAATATGTTCTTTTTCTTTCTGGTGCATAGGTTACAGTTGTCAGATATGATCATACCTATCTATTATAACCTTTGCACTAGGCTTTAAGGGTTAAAAATAAATTTCATATCATACTGCTTACCTCAAAAAGGCAAAATTATCATTACCTGCAAGATATATGTATTGAAAATGTACTGACTGCAATACACTAGTATGAGCAATATCAGCATATTGTAATTTTTACTTTTGATATACAAGCATAGCTTTTCCCATGGCTATGGGGGAATACTGATAGTGCAAACTATTGTTACATCAACAAAAGGAAATATTACAACATGCTAGTGCACAAAAATTAATCTAAGAAATAAGGTGCATAATGCAAATGAAACTCATTTCAAAATCATCAATGCATTAACTGAACTTTAAACATTGTGATAAACTATAATGCTTTGCAAAGTAATAAATTACTGACTTGGAAATATAATATCACTTGACAGATCAGCTACTACATGATTTTTCTGTAACAAACTGATGTCTATTAACACTGCTGATAATAAATATACAGTTTAATAAAATACATATAGTCTCTCCATCATATCTAAAAACTGAGCCTCTCTGAAAAGAATATTCTTAGTTTTGTTACTGAAATGGTTAACTTGTCAGTAACAGGGTAAACAAAGAGCTTCCATATCAATATTTTTAAATCATCATGCTTTCCAATTTCTGCATCTCCACTTTTCTAGCATGTTGAATATCTTAAATATAAACCTCACGAAAAACTTACAAGGAAATACATTTATTAAAGCTCTGTCATAAATAACTACATTTCAGTCACAAAAGCAATCTTACACAAAAGTGCTCATGCAGAGCAAATAAAATGGAAATAGAAGATACAGACAGGCTTTTAAATGCAGAACCAGCAAGATATTAAAGCTGAGCATATTGAAAAGAAGGGAATCTTTGTCATCCTTTTTGGGGGGATAACAGAGTCAATGACTTTTTAACCCACTGGTAATATGAGATATTCTTTTATCACGAGAAAAAATATGAAAATAAAATTCATTTACTTGTTCATAATATTGCCCAATGTTTCCCATTGCCAGAATAATCTTGGGACTTAGTTTTCCTACCTGTAAATCCTACCTATTTTTTAAGTAAATAGTTACTTCCTCCTTGTACAATACCTGCATAACTTCATTTATCATTTTCCCAAATATGATCCCTGTCAGATTATATATTTATATGCTAGGTAAACATTCATACATCTGTATAAAAACAGTTAGACATCATCAGTATTTCAGGTATTACCTTAGCCCCCTACTGGGGGATTACAAGACTATAATCATCATCCTCATTTAAATATCTGCCTTGATATTACTGGTAGTCATTAGAAGAAACTTGAACATCCATTTAAACATATATAATAATTATTTTCATTATATCTTAGTCATGATCTTGATATCTAAACTTGAAAAATAATATTTCAAAATGTTCGCAAATATACATATTTTGCATTGGGAATTCTTTTTATGAAACAAGTTTCAAATAACACTGATAATATTCCATAGAGAAATATCATTTTCAATACAGCCCTTGATATATTACATGTACAAAATAATGTTCACACTCCTTTTACAATTAGAGACTTTTAGCAATGTCCCCCATCATAATCTCTGTGAAGTACAAAACCTTTCATCCCAAATTTGTTAATCCTTTAGTGTTTGTGTCATCATGTGCCAAACCTCTTTAGTTCCTCTTAAATTGATAAAAACAAAAGAAAGTAATAAAGCCAATGCAAAATATAGCTATCACTTATCCCCTCTGATCTTGGTGAAATGATTATCACGTCAAGAAAAAATTTGGGTTGAGGGCCGGGAGACATGAACATGCCTTCCTGGAACAAAATAGCCATTGGGAGGGTGATGCAAACTTGCCATAATAAGCGACGATGGAAAAGACTTGTACAAACATCTTGGAGGATGTTTAGGCTCATTTGACATTTAGAAGGGGATTTTTGCATTATTCCCATTGATAAATGAATGTGGAATGTAAAGTCAATAAACCATGACTGGAAGAGCGCTGGCTCCAGGAAGGACACCATTTCCATGCTCAGCAGTGTATTCCTGATCGCCATGACTGGAGGCATCAGTTTTATGATGGAAAACTGAAAATGAAAAAAAAGAAAAGAAGAAAGAAAGAAAGAAAGAAAGAAAGAAAGAAAGAAAAGAAAGAAAGAAAGAAAGAAAGAAAGAAAGAAAGAAAGAAAGAAAGAAAGAAAGAAAGAAAGAAAGAAAGAAGAAAGAAAGAAAGAAAGAAAGAAGAAAGAAAGAAAGAAAGAAGAAGAAAGATGTGTGTGTGTGTGTATATGTGTGTGTGTGTGTGTGTGTGTGTGTGTGTGTGTGTGTGTGTGTGTGTGTGTGTGTGTGTGTGTGTGTGTGTGTGTGTGTGTGTGTGTGTGTGTGTGTGTGTGTGTGTGCGTGTGTGTGTGTGTGTGCGTGTGTGTGTGCGTATGTGTGTGTATATATATATATATATATATATATATATATATATATATATATATATATATATATATATATATATATATAACACAAATAACAAAATGCTACCTTTTTTCCTTGCACTGAGTTATTTACTACATAGAGATATGATATGTAGACTGAGCAAGGAAAAAGTCTATTACCATCCAGATAAAGCAAATCAAAAGTGCTCATGTGCACCCAGCCTATGCACCACACACCAACAGAGTGGCCACTTACGTGAGCCTAATGCCTGTACTTTCAGCCATGTGACTGCCATGACGCAACTAGATTCAAGGGGTTAATATTCATGAAAGTTCTATTCCTCGACCCCTAAACAAACGTAAAAAGTTCTAGGGTGCAAGGTATAGATGGGGTATGGTAGTCACATAATTTCCAAAATCATTATATACTGATTATCATCACATCAATTAAAAGGCCAACAATAAGCCCACATTGGTTAACCCTTTGGAACTGGTTGCATCAATGATATCACGGAGCTCAAAACCCTGGGCAATTGGTTACATAAGTGGCCAATATCAAAAGCATGCAGCGCATAAGCCAGGCGCACATGAACACCCATAAGCAATGACAAGACTCTGTGCCTCCACTTTGAAAAGTTATTTTGTGAAAACTTTCTAAGCTTTATCACCATTTTCCAATGTCCATAACAGTCTTTTGAATTGCTTTATGCAAATGGTAATTACTTATTTTCCATATCATCTCTCTATGTAATAAACAACTCAGTGCATGAAAAAAAGGAACATTTGGTTATTTGTGTCATATATCTTATTTTTTCTTAATTTTCAATTTTACGTAATACAGCCTGCGCCGCCGGCACAGCAACTAGGAAGACGGTGCACAGCATGAAAATGGCTCCAGACAGCACTCTTCCAGTCACTGCCTACGTACATTACACTCCACATTCATTTATCGATGAGAATAACACTAAAGCCCCCCTTCTAAGAGCCAAATGAGTCAAATCACACTCCAAGAGGTTAGTGCACTCATGGTGACTCTTTTCCGTCATCCTAGCCTTCACTCATGATGGCAGTTCGTGTCACACAAGCTGCGGCTAATTTCCACGGTTGACGGCATGTTCACATCACCCAGGCAGCTGCTGAAGTTTTTCCGTGATGTGACCGCAATGTCATCCGAGTCCAAGGGGTTAATATTGTAGAGAGTCTGTACTTTTTTTTTTGAAGTACAAATATATATAATAACTACACTAGTAGTGAGATACACTTTGTGGGGAGGATGCACACACTTGTTCAAAAAAAATAAAATCCAAACATACTTATTTGCTATTATCTCCAATTCAATATTTGCTTATATTTACTACTTATGTCTCACTCATATTTTCAGTTATTCTGATCCATTATGAGTGCAGCTTTTCACTTCTTGTTACTTTTATACATTTTTAAATGAAATGTGGCAAAGTTTGAGGTTAAGCAGATTTGCAAATGTCAGTTTCATGAAAGCAAAGAGCAAACTGTATTGACATGTGGATCAATCATAAAAGAGAGAGAAAGAAACATCACAGTTCTAAGATTGCTAACTTACATTGAGTTTCTTGGCAGAATCTACCCAGACCATGAGCACAGCACTATGAAGTGGGTTCTTCGTTGTCACCTGAAGGGCACGGATTTCCTCAAGTTGCTGCAGAAAAGAAGGATTTTAGAGAGACATACCACAAACTATTTTTAACTTTTTATCTTGAAAATTTCAAACCCTATCACTTTGAAAGAAAATCAAAGACTCACCAGCTGCAGAGAGTCAGCAGTGTCACTGAGATCCAACCAAGTGGCTCGGATGTGAATGCGACCTGACTTGGCCTCAGACAGCGGCACCCACTGGAATTCATCAAGTGTTTAAACATAATTTTCATCTCAATTTTTTCTGGTCACATATTCGTATGTATCCTGGCTTGAGATTAATATAATTTAAAAGAGCCATTATTTACTATCCTTCTCTATAGGCATCTAAAATGTCAACAGAATAGTGTTCACTTCTCTTAAAAGAATAGTCATCTTAAGCCAAAGTGTATATATAAACATTTGACTAAATCTAATGTACATGCAAAAAGAATATTATGACTTCACTACCAACATGCACCCATGTCCCACTCTTAATCCCTTCTCTCTACAGAAATCAGTAAAACTTTGAGATTCATCCATAACCTCAGTCTATTGCTGTTAACAACTTAAGCTCAAGTTGATAACTGATTATCAGGTAAATTAGGAAAATTGAGATGCCATGATGAAGAGGCTGAATTAAGAAACAGAGCCAAATGTATTGAATTAAACCAACTGAACCAACAGAGTTTATTTAAGACATGGATGAGGTGGCTGGTCACGTTAGTTGTCTGAATAGCTGAGATGACATGATGGTTAACCAAAAAAAAAAAAAAAAAAGGATAATACACATTTACATAACATTCACTACCATGTTTCTTGCAAACAAATTAAATCCCAAAAGATTTTCAAAACTCTTTTATAAAAGTATAAATGTATGGAAACTCAGTGTCAGCTTTTTAATTTCTCTCACAATCAGTACTTATCATAAGCCACTAATAACTACTGAAAACAACCAAAAATACATAAAAAGTATAAGTAAAATACCTTTTCTCAAAAATCCTTGATGCAAACACAAGAGAAACACAGCAGTACTCAAAAAAGTAGTTTATTACTCACCATATCTACTTCTCCATTCTTCCAAATTTCCTGAACATCCAAATTGGCTCTGAAGATGACATTAGCAAATTAGTAGAATAACCATGCTTAGATTTCATCTCAAAATTGACTGGCAGATATTTCATCCTATGGTCAACTGTGTTTTCACATATGAAGATCTTAATAACTTTTTAAATATTTTCTGTAAATACAAAAGCATGTAAAACAAGTAAATGTACAAGTCAGATAAAAACAATTAATGTGATAGCCTTATTATACCAAAAATTAAAATTCTTAAAACACATGGAGATAGGACATTCAACCACTTTATGATCATCTTTATACCTTCAGTTTACTATATCTATATATAATCACAGCTTTGTATGTTTTTTTCTGTAAATAAAGAAGGGTAATGCAACTAACTGCTTATATTTCATCCAAATATGGAAAGTGGGATCAATATAAATAAATCCTGCTTATAAGCTAAAGAATTAAAGTTACGAACACTTAACATATACTAGTTCAATCTATTATCAAAATACAGAAAAAGTTTAACAAATCATATTACATGATATCTCTTAAGACTCAGAATTTCACTTTCCATTTTTCTCTATTTGAAAACTACAAAAACATAAATCAATCTAAGTAAATTAATATCCTTAATTTTTTTCTGAGTATTATATGGCTTAATGGGTCACAGCATAAAACAATGACAATAAACTGTGTGAATCTGAATCTGACTCTGCTGATAGCTGTTTAAAGTATTTTATGTATTAAATTAATTCTACAAATCTAAAATGTTGTCATTTTTCCTTTTCATCACAGAAATTATCTACCAATTAAATCATAACTGTATTTCACAGAACTTGACTATTGGTTCATTTGTCTCAAAAATTTTATTACACCTTGTTCTGCTTATGTTTATCACTTCCCAGTCTCCACGATACTGCTTTCCATTACTTTCATAATTACCCATCACTTGCAGCCATCATTATAGTATGAATGTCTAATTAGTCATAGATTATTTCTGCAAAGGTGCCTCACCTTGTCACAACCTCACTGTCTTCAATCAGTATATCTTAATTACATTACAGTCCATTTTCTATGCCATGAGGATACTAACTTACAGATATGATTATCAGGATTTTAAAAGTATGAGTGCCAAGAGGCAGACCTGAAGAAAAAAACTTTTTCTGTAATCTAAATGACCTAAAGCTTGTAAGTGACCCCCCCCCCCCCCACATACACCAAAAAGTCTGATCATATAGACACTGATGAATGTCCTATCAGTTTTACAAAATAAGCATAATGCAGTCCTATTATCATATTATAAATAATCAAATAACTTTGGTAATGCACACAAGGACAAAGGGCTTATAGAGCATGTCATAAATAACATCACATCCAATGCTTGTAAGATTAAGTCTTAAAGAATAAAGTTTTATTATGATTTAGTATGTGTTAATGTACACACACTGGCAAGTCCATCCTTTAAATAAAATATATAGATATATATATGAGTGAGTGAATATAAAGGTATGTTGATGCTTTTATTGGAGGGTAGATCTCATAATCTTATGAGAGGATATTTAATGTACCTGCTAGGAAGATTCCTAGGAAAACTAGAGAAAAAGCTGGTAAACATGATACTTTTTGTTAGTCACTGAGGGTAGTTTTGCGTTCAAAGTTGGAGGGAACAAGAATAAAAGTTGAGAAACACATTTTGAAAGCAATGTATTCTTATTCTTCTGTATGTTCCTTAATCATACAGATCCAAATCTAATTCATGCAGTTATCATTGTACAGCAGAGAATATTTGCATGCTATAAGCATTCAGAATATATCAAATTGCATAGCGTTTTATATGTTAGTATTACATGCACTAAATGCTCTCATGCTGAAAGTGTTATCTAATTCAGTTTCCTAAAAGTATACAAACTGAAGAAGTACACAGCTCAGAACAGGAAAGTAAGTACACCATAAGACAAACAAATCTATGGATTTTTTAAAAATGAAGTGCTGTCTTATTCACATTCTGGAATGATTCTTTACTAACCAATGAATTTTTAGGACTCTGATACTAATAAGTCAAATTCTGAGAGAGCATCACAAGATTTACCAATATATCCATTCCAGTAAAGATGTTCAACTATAGCCTGGGCAAATGTACATTTATATTATTCAAAACAAACATTTTCTTGACTCTTTCTTGAAGAGAAAAATAATTCTTAGGAGTACACAACAGTGGATATGGATAAAGATACTGACATTATAAAAACATTATATGATATAATGTGGCCAAATCTCTAATCAGTGTTGAATTAATTCAAAATCAGGCACAGTAACAGAAGAAATAATAATCATCATCATAATCAAACTTCCACTAACATAGACGATCTTCAATAATCAATTTTGACAGAAAATTTCAATTAAACCATATCTAACAAACACCATAATATTTACCTGAGAAGAAAATCATCTTTGCTCATGTGGTCATAATCAAAGACCTCGAAATGTATCTTGTTCCCAAACCTGGTGTCAGAACTACAAAAGTACTGCAAAAAGGTTTGGAAACAGCTTTAGAGCACAGATGGTTATGAAAGAACCATAGCTAAATGCATTCCAGATAGTTGCAGATGTTACTTGGCTACTAAAAATCATACACACAGCCGTGGAGTGTGAGGCACAGCTCAGACTGGGGTGTGTCACAAGATGGGTGACCTGAATGGTTATCTCCAAGTTTATAAATGAAAACATATACATATCTTCCTGATAAGTGCACCATAGGGTAGGATTAAAGAGGGTAACTGCACACTCCACAGGTTATTATGAAAGAAAAATGAGAAGCAGATATTAATATCTAATGCACAACAAAGCTAAATACTTGGTTCTACTCTTGACATGGATGGTTAGTAACTAACTAAAGACCACACGCAAAACAACATGTAGTCTTCTAGGAATGGTAGACTGTGAGACATCTTATGTTATATATAACTATGTATAATGCAAGACAAGAGTAAGCTATACAGTACAAAATACAATTAACAGATACTTCGTAACACAACATGTGGAAGCAAGCATTTGGGATGACAAGATATCCATGTGTGTTTTATGATAATTCTATGGACAAAAATGAGTGAAATATATCGCATTTCTTCTTTTTTTGGTGTCCCATTCCACTTGCCCAACTGAAAATTCTGTGTGATCAGCACATTGCTTAGTATTAAGTTCCCATGAATATAAATGATAGCTCTTGAGTTTCCAATATTTTTGAAAGTGTCACTGCAATATAATAATCAAAATTTATAATTGAACCATCATCTTGCATACCTTCAGCAAAACATGTACCTACAAAAAAAAAAAAAAAAAAAAAAAAAAAAATTATATATATATATATATATATATATATATATATATATATATATATATATATATCTATCTATCTATTTATCTACCTACCTATCCATCTATCCATTCCTCTATCTCACTATTGTATTCACCCAATTAACTAATCATTAAAACATAATGGAAAGAAAAAGTTAAGTGATGCCAGAAAGAAGACACTGAAGTAGAGTATTCCCAAGAAAAATATTGTACTAAACAATAATAACAAGTGTCTTTTCATATCAAATTTTGTTTAGCAGTCAAGGTTTCCAAACCATTATTAACCCATTAACACCAGTATATTTTGAAGCCGAAAATAAAAGATTCCGGGCGGCTACAAAATCGGCGCATGGGGCTGGCCAGGACTCTGCCTGCGTGGCGGCTGCGGCCCGCTGCTGCAACAGAACGCGAGCCCCAATACAGTGTCACACCGGCAGGACACCCAGCAATGTTTATTTTTTCGGGTGTCTCATACATGGGACACCTGTCGTTAGTGGGTTAAGAGTGATCATTCTCAAATGTTTCAAAATACAGATTGAATGGGAACCCCAAACTTCCAACTATAAAAAATGTCCTAACCTGGCCCTAATGCTTGCACAAAAATAAAATGATCCTGTGATCTTCACAAATATTCATGAAATGTTCACTTAAGTTTCAATTAGCTGATGATGGTTCAAATTTACAAAATTAAACAAAATATCTATGTAGACAGAAAACTGCAATATTGAATTTTGTGATACCACTTCAACTTTGAGTGCAGTATGTGGATAACTTCATAAGTTCTTAATTTTTAGGAAAACAAAATTAAATAAATACCCAAAGAGAAATAAAAACAAAGAAAATAATTAATCATCCTCAGCTACTTTATATACCTTCAAAAGCTACCATAGAAAATATTCAAAGTTACTAAGTTATATACTAATCATCCTCTACATGAACTCTGAACATACAAATAAATGAGAAATGTGAAAGCTCATTCCCACAGTGAGCATGCGCAGTGCCAGGGACCCCTAGAGCAGTTACCTCCCTAAAAAATCATCATTCTTAGCTCCGGGAATGTTAGCATCCCAGTCCCAGCATTCAATATTGAAGGTCTGACGACGTACCACGTTGCATATTGCCTGTGAGGGGCAGCAGAAGGGATTACGTTCAGCTAAGGTTATTTTGATTAACAGCACGGTTAGCAGGAGAAAGCCAAGTGATCTTTAGTGGATGACCACAGCATCTCAGATGGCAATGCTTTAAAACAGAACATGTTACTAGTTTCATATACATTACAAGCATATGCTTACACAAATGCTTATACAATCCTACTTTTATTAAAATAATTCAGCCATCTTATTTC